GATACCTTATGACATTACACGGATGAAATTGTATCATCAGATCATCTAAAAGGGTTCAAAATCGCCAAACTATATGACATAAAACAAATGGAAAAGAAAAATCTGGATTGGATACTTTACCAAAGTATAAAAGAATGAAAAGGTTGAACTACAAATTTTTTTAAAAAGAAAAAGAAAAAGAAAATACTGGAATGCACTGCACTAGTCTAGATTGTATTGGATTGTACTGGACTTATTGCTCTGGACTGGAGTCTATTAATTCATTTAGGTCTCGAACTGCGAGTCTGTTCATTCCTTGGTAGTTTTGATCTGCAAGCTATTGCTCCGAAAGCACTGATGAAGCAAATACAAGGTCAATGGTCTGAATTCTCCTCCCTAATCTGACTGGAAGCTTCTTATTTTGACATCAAATTGCTGTTCCACAAGTTTATGAAACTGCATCGCAGCTACAGTGAATTCAAATTTGAGTTAGAAGGGATAGATCCAGGGATACCTGGAAAAATCATCAACAAATAACAGATAGTATCGAAAGCCAGTGGAGGATAATACAGGGGCTGGTCCCCAGACATCAGCATGTACTAACTCAAAAGGTGAATTAAAGTGAGTTGAAGATGAAGGAAAAGATCCCTGATGCAATTTACCAAACTAATTGAGATGAAAGTGAAGTTAGCTTATTGAGCAGAATATACAGCAGTAAATGATTTTTCGTCAATTACCTACCTTTTTAGGCTGAAATTCCCTCACTGTATCTTTATAAAGGGCTGGGACTGAGACACCACGAGGGATGTAGACATCACCAGATCTCTTTGCAATAATTTTCAATGGCCTCTATTTTGATTAAAAAAAAAGAAGATATTAGAAACAACAAATAGGCAAGAAGAAATGTTGCTTCTGAAGTTGCAGTAGTAACATTTAAAGGAGAATAACAGAAGTTTAGAACCAAACCTGAATGCCATCGAAAATATTTCCCAATATTGCAGGTCCTAACTCAACTGACAGAGGCTGTAACATCAAAATATATATGTAAGCTAATGGAGTCAAATCACAGTCCAGGAAAAGACTCGAACAAAGAATATTTAAATTACCTTGTGCGTCCGGAGAACAGGGTCATTCACCTTCAAGCCAGCAGTTTCTTCATAAACTGAAATAGAAATTCAGAACAAACTTTCTTGTCAATTTTGATGCCAAATTAATTTCAATAGAAGAGACAATACCAACTAGAAATTCAAATTACTTCTTAAGTGATGAAGAAATCATAACAGTACTCCTTCCAACCGAATGATTACACCAATCAAATTGTCATGTCCAACACGAACCAATTCATACATAGCATCAGAAACCCAACCAACTGTCATGAGATTAGTTTGAATTCTGGAACATGTCTTGTCTGACTGGTATTTCCTAGGTATAACAGGTTAGATGAGAAGAAGATGGTCCATTATGTTTAAATTAATCAACTGCCTCGGTTGAACAAAGCAAACTCTTTTTCTTTACGAGTAATGTTACACCCACAACCTCTTTTTACGAACTTTCTTTCACAACACTAACGTGATAACTCGTTATTAGTCAGCTCATAAAATGGGTTCCGCCCACTTGTATAAGTCTTGCATTTCCATTTGCGAGTTAACCAATGACGAGCTACCACGTCGAGATTGTAAGAGAAAATTTATGAGAAGAGGTTGTAGGTGTAACATTTTCCTTCCTACAATAACATATTTTCTTGCCCTCTATCGAGCTAATTAGTGTGATATTCTCTTTGATATGTATGTTGTTTGCTCCATCTAACCAATTGTCTACCCATTCTTAACTTTGTCTACAATTTATGGTCATCTGGCGTGAATACTTCACTGCTTGCTTTTGTCATTTTTCCTGCTTTTTTAATTATCTTTTCATTATGTGGTTGGCCAATGCCATAAGTAGTTTATGCTTGAAAGCACTAACAGGATTATAGTCACTCGGAATAAATTGAAGCCTTAAACACCGTTGAAAATGAAAAAAGACTAGGTACGAATACAAACTACAGAGATAAGGAAGGACATAAATATAATGTCCTCTTTTGATTCAATAGTATTTGCTAGTTGAGGATTTTCAGCTTTGCTCCTAAACATACAAATCAATAGTTGAATGATTCATTACAGACGAAGTCAAACAGTCCAAGGCCAGTTACAGTTACTGCTTCTGACTCCAACAGTACACAGTTGCGCAGTTCTTACAACAGTGCAAAACGCTGTTCAGCAAAATCAAATATTCCTCACCGTAACGCGAAGATCGATCTTGTGCAATTATTATTATTTATTTTGTTGCTAATTCTAATTATAGAATCCAAAGACCTCACAAGGAGAAAGAGAACAATTGTTTTTTATACATAACTCTTTCGTTTTATACACATGCCGACTTTAATATTAATATGAAAATATGTTATGAGACTTAAAAAGGGAGTATTGCTTCCAAGGTATGGAGGACATGGTTATATGGACGGCATGCATTGATAAAAAAATTTCATAATATGTGGTAAAACTCTTTAAAGAAGGTAGTTTGTCAAAGTTTCAGATTAATGAATTCAACTGAGAGTAAATTCAAACCCTTTTATCTTTCTTCCCCACCCCACCGCCCCAAAATCCTCCACCCCCAATTTTCTTTCATACCCAGCAGAGTAAAAATCAAGTAGCAACTAACTTCTATCCTTTGTTTTGTTATATTGTTGTTATTTGGGATAATGGGTTGTGTTTTGTGTATTGAATTGTTGGGGAAAATGGTGGAATCGGAGAAGGATGGTGAAAACGGGATCCTTTGGTGGCCAGCAGCTCATCAAGCCGCCAACGTGGCCTGATCCGCGTCGATTTGGCCGGAATCGCACCAGGCTGGTTGCGATTCCGGCCGAATGTCAGGAGTCCATCATTCATGTTTTCCTTCAGTGCCAATTTGCTCAGCGTTGTAGAGGATGGCTTATGAACCTTTTCCATACAGCCCATGATTTTCATTTTGGGATAATTTTTGGGATTCCATTTTCTACAAAAGGTTGTCTCCGCAAGTTTCAAATCTCTGGATTGTGGCTTGTTTGACGATTTTTTTTTTCTCATTTGGAAAACTCGTAACAAGGTGCGGTTTGAAGACGTCCAGCCATCCTTCTCTCGGATTTGCTCTCATTCTAAAGCAGTATTGAGTAAAACCGGCACTTTCTTGCCTGGTTTTGTTTTACCAAAGGCGGACACTTGTATTCTCTCCAACATTGGTATCCCGATACATATATGCAGGTGAAAGTGAACACAGAGGACCTCTCTTAAGGTAATCCAGTGATGAGGGAAGGTGAGCTGCTGGTATGAATTATGAAAGTATAGGTAGTTTGAGATGGTGGGGGCCAAAGCCAATCATTGATAGAATATAGAAACACACTACTTTACCGCTCTCACCTAAACTAGCACGCTTTGGCAGACAACACAAATGGTGTGAAATAAATACAACTCAGATTAAATGGGAGAATGTTTGGCTTAAGTAATTTTCCCACCCATCTGCAAAGATTGAGAGTTTGAAGCATTAGCAACATGGTGAGGAGCAAAGTTTGTGATCATCTGTATATTGGTGATGAATTTGTACTTGTATAGCCATCTGGGTCCCATCTAACATCCTTTACCTGCAAAATTAAGATGAGTTACATATACAATCGTTGTAAGAAACAGAAACAGAAACAGTATCTCTATCTTACCTCTGATCTTATATATTTGTTGTAATTTCATCAGGATTTGTCTTAATTTGACTTCAGCAGGGAATTATACCTCACCTCTTAACTTGTTCATGTATAATTAAAGTTTTGAGTCTTTTAAATAGTAATTTTGATGGGGAAAAGGAACCATTAAAACTACGGCCACTACTGCAAATAAACAAAGTAAACAGTGACCATATACAACGTATACTGCAGTAAACAGTGAAAGAAACCCAGTAGTTAGTTTGGGATGGTAGGGTCCATACGCTCCCATCTAACCTAATACACTTTTAACAGATTACACAAATGGTGTGAATACTCAGGAGAGAAGAGTAAAAAATGCAAACAAGTGGAGCCCATAGTCAGGAATATCAGTAACAAACTCTTTACATAAAAGAAAGAATTTCCTTCCTATATGTAATTCTGTTTATAACATGTCTCCATTATTCCAGACACTCTCTCTATAACGGTGTCTACCTCCTGCAACATAGGTCTCCATCTTTATCTTTCATGTGGAGTCTTCAGAGGTGCGGCCACTTGGTGTTGGATCAGCTCGACAGGTCACTCCATAGCCCCCGCTAGCTAACGTAGAAAGATATTCCCAGACAGCAGTTAAACCTTAGTCGCTTAAACCTTTCTTGAAAAGGTCCGCTAAGACGCAGACACTGTGGAATTTCGTTTGCGATCATAATAATGGGTATGTTTTTAACTCTTGCATATTTGGAATAATTTTGGTTTTATTCCCTAACTTGTATTTCCTTTTAATTGGGATTGGTTCTTGTTTGTATATCCTTATTCTATATTCTATCAAATTCCCATTTTACGTGGGGTTGTAAATGTTTTAATCATATTTGCTGTAATGTTCATGAATGGTTCAGACCACTCTAAAGATTTTCATTTTCATCTTTGGACTATTGGGGATGGGTTAATTTCCTAGTCTGTACCCTATCCAATCAGATTATTGAGGAAGATTTGATAAGTAATAGTCAACAAATTGGTATTCATATATCAACGGACTCACTTTTAGTTGCTTTGGTGGGCGCAATTGCCGTGGCTAGTCAGTAAAAACATCGTTATAACTAGGAACAGAAATCAAAATTCAACCTTTATCTGTGTTATCAACATGCATTTCCCTGAAATTAGATTAACAGTTTTTTTTTTTTTTTTTTGGTGAAATTTATTAATTACCTGTATTGTTTTTCTCATGTTGACTGATGCAGAGATTAACCATTCTAAAATGTATGAGGAACCAGGGTGCTTCGATCCCAATAACTTCACTGCAGAGGGTGCAGGTTCTGGGTTTCGTTCTGGGTTTCCTCAAGCTGTCCAGAAGCAGTTTGAAGAGAATATGGACCTCTCTGTTGACGAACTTTCTTATCATCACCACAATCACCAAGAAGATGCAGCTGTTTCCGCTATGGAACTAGAGCTTCAAAAGCATCTGGCTTTCAATGTGGAAAACTGCGATAACAATATCCATATGATGCAACAAGTGGTTGACGACCCAAATCAGCTTCTTTCATGTGATTACGCCAACTGGAACACCGGTGATAGAGGCTTTAATCAAGATGACCCAGAACAAAATGGTCATAGGAGCTTCAATATAAATTCATTACCCCAAACACCTGACCTTCTCAATCTCTTTCACTTGCCCAGTTCCTCTTTGCTTCCAAATTCATCCATCTCCTTTGCAAACTCAAACCATGACACTACTCATTTGGGCTTTATCAAAGACCTCCCAGCCTCACATAGCACATCCGTTTTGTATGATCCGTTATTTCATCTCAACCTGCCTCCACAACCTCCTTTGTTCAGTGAATTATTCCAATCTATACCCCAAGGGTACAGCTTGCCAGCCTCAAGAGGTGGTGCTAGTTCTTTGTTTGGGGATGAGAGAGACTCAAGTGGAGTAACGGCTTACCAAGATGGGGATGGAGGGATGCTGGAATTCACAAGGGACATGGCTTGTATTGTTAGGAGTGACACTGGCAAGAAGAAAAAGCCCTTTACTACAGAGCGGCAAAGGAGAGAACAGTGGAATGATAAGTTCGAGGCCTTGAGGAATATGGTTCCTAGCCCTACCAAGGTACACGTTTCTGCTTCTCTTTAATTTCATTGTAATGTTTATATTATATCATACCAGCTGCTAATATAACAATTTTACACATATATAACAAAGTCCGATAGAGCCTCAATTGTGGGAGATGCTATTGAGTACATCAAAGAGCTTCTTAGAACAGTTAACGAGATCAAATTACTGGCAGAGAGAAAAAGATGTGTTAGAGAGAGAAGCAAGAGGCACAAGACAGAAGACGATGCTGCTGAGGATGTTAAGAATTGTAACATAAGGCCTCTTGGTGATCCCGAGCAATCCTATATTGGTTCTTTGAGGAGTTCCTGGCTTCAGAGAAAATCCAAGGATACCGAGGTTGATGTTCGTATCATTGATGATGAAGTAACCATCAAACTCTTTCAGAGAAAAAAGATCGACTGCTGCTTGTTTGCTTCCAAAGTTCTTGACGAGCTTAAGTTGGATCTCCACCATGTTGCCGGTGGCCATATTGGTGATTACTATAGCTTTCTGTTCAACACAAAGGTGGATGTGGATTACTCTTCTTTACAAACCCATCTTCTCCATGGAGTAATTTCTGAGAGATTTATATTTATTTCTAATTTTGCAGATATATGAAGGATCTTCACTTTACGCTGGCGCCATAGCCAATAAGGTCATTGAGGCTATGGACAGAGAATATGCAGCTGTTCCACCCACAAGTAGCTATTAGGATTAAACGAGATCTGATTCTACTGGATATTAGGATGTTTTGCTTTCTTGAATGTCATAGACTGGTAGTACTTAACATTTAAAATTGATCGGAGGATGGTTATTTTCAAGTTCCAGACTTCATGATTTTGAAGTTACTTTCTATAACACCAATGAACTGTCTAAGATAACTGCTCATTTCTCGTGCACTATTAACTCAAATTTCTAAGTATTATTGTTTTTTTCTTCTTTTTTGATTAATCTTGGATATACTCAGTTTTTGTTTTTGTTTGATCATGTATCGAAAGGTAGAGTTTTCGTTATTTCCAGATTATATTATTGCTGAACAAGTGTACATATATATATATCACGTTGAAAATGAAATTTGAGATAAATGGCGTCTCATAACTATTAAAAGTTGTAAATGGCCGACTCTTCTCAAATTCTTAGCTTAAGATTTTGTGTAAACATGGCCATGTAGCGAAGAAGTTTGCAGTGAAAGTTGAATATCTGGCAATGGATGTGTGGCGTTATTAGATTGTTAAGGATTTATTTGTTCTTAGTCTTAATCGAGTTTATTCTAGATAAACAGGCATGGATGGTTTGAATGCAAAACGACGGGAGAATTTGACTGGCAGAATTCTTGTGGCTGCCCTCCTGGCAACTGTTTTCATTATTATCTTCACAACTTCATCTGATTAATTTTAGCACCCCCAGTGCAGTATGTTTCTGATAGAAACCTCCTTCTATCTCAACCTGCAAAATCACACACGCACCCCAAATACCCAGAATTCCCAATCACCCCAACGACAAAAGCAAAACAAATCCTCTCAACCAGACTTTCTGAAATACCTCTACTGTATTACTATTAATATTCAAAACAAACACTAGTTCAATCATCAACAAAGTACACAAAGTTTAATCCACAAAATGAACAACAACTGACAATAAGTAAATTGACAATAAGAGAAAATAAAGGAAAAAGATAACCAAGGATAACCAGCTGGTTTCGAGGGCCAGTACCTCCCCAACCCAAATTCTCTTTTACTTTTTCAATATCCCCCAACATTCCCTGTCAACCCTTTTTATGCACAAATCCCACTCTAATAGAATTTCTTTAAACCCAATCTGTAGATGCCACCTGTCCATTGCTTTATGCGCAGCAAAATGCTATTTATCCTCTATTCTCTTATTCTTTCTGCTAAAGACGTGCACTAAAGGGGTCTCATCATTACCCTCCCCAAGGAGAGCTACCTTATCCCCAAGGTGGAATAAAGGAAATTGGAGATCAATAGAGGTGAATTCCTCCCAAGTGCTCTCATAAGTGAGCAAGCCTTTCCATTTGATTAAGACTTCCAAAGTACAATTTAGAGCTAAAGAGCGAAGATGGTAGGGTTGCAACTTAAGGTAAACTGAATCCCCCACTTCCAGTTGAACTTCCCTCCTCTTTGCATCGGCATTGTTTTTCATTCGGCCTTGAGCTTTGAGGAGATTCTCCTGTAACTCAGCTAAGATGACATTGCAAGCTTGCAATTGACAGTTCACTTCATCGACAGTTGACCCATGATCGAAAAACTTAAGAAGAGTTGGAGGATCGTGACCATAAAGTACTTTAAAAGGGGTCATACCTGTGGAGCCATTGAATGTTGCATTAAACCAAAAATCGGCCCAAGAGATTCATTTAGGCCATTGACGAGGCTGACTACTCACAAAACAGCGTAGATGTCTCTACACATCGATTCACCACTTCGGATTGACCATCTATTTGAGGATGGTAGGCCGAACTCATTCGAAGCTGCATTCCCGAATGTTTGAACAATTCTCTCCAAAAGTGACTGATGAATATCCGATCGTGATCAGAGACAATCGATCGGGGAAACCCATGTAGCTGAACAATCTCCTTAATGAAAAGGTTAGTGACATCCATGGCCGTGTGGGGATGTTTAAGAGTCAAGAAATGGCTGTACTTAGTCAATCGGTCAACCACCACCAAAATAGTGTCTATGCTATTTGCTTTCGAAAGTCCGGTGATGAAGTCCATGGAGATGTCTTCCCACACCTGATTAGGAATAGATAAAGGTTGCAATAAGCCGATGGGACTGAAGGCTTGGTACTTATTTTGTTGACAAACCGAACAAGAGTCGACATACTCTTTGATATCTTGTTTCATTCCCTCCCAATACACCACACTGTTGAGCCTTTTATAAGTGTGAAAGAAACCCAAGTGGCCCCCAACTGGTGACGAGTGAAACTCATGTAGGAGTAGTTGAATGTGAGCCCCTTTCTTTGGTAAAATCAACCGGCCATTATACAAGAGATGGTGCCCAACTAATTTAAATGGTGGATCACCATTGGGATCCAACAATAGCTTTTGGACAATCCCACGCAAGTTGTCATCTTGTTGAATAGCACTCTCCAGTTCTTCAATCCCTACAAAATAACTCACAGACAGCCCATTAAAATCAACTAGTTCACTTCTTCTAGATAACGCATCAGCTACCCGATTCTCTGTCCCTGATTTATATTTGATGATAAAGTTCAAGCCTATCAATTTAGTAACCCATATCTGTTGGTCTTCACTAAGTAGCCACTGATCTGTTAAGAAATGTAAGCTTTGTTGGTCTATTCTAATGATGAATCACTGCCCTAATAAGTAATGTCGCCACTTTTGAACCACCATTACAATAGCCATTAATTCGCATTCATAAACTGATTTAAGCTTAGATTGTGCGGATAACCCTTTGCTCAAAAAAGTTAACGATTTACCCTCCTGCATCAGAACATCCCCTAACCCACTCCCTGAGGCATCCGTCTCAATGATAAATTCTTTAGGAAAATCCGGCATATCCAACACTGGTATTGATGTCATGATCTACTTAAGCTCATCAAAGGCTTTTTGGGCTTCAGGATTCCATTGAAATGCATCTTTCTTAAGTAAACATGTAAGAAGAATGACTATTTTCCCGTAATCTTTGACAAACCTTCGATAGTATCCAGTCAAACCAAGAAATCCACATAATGCCCTGATATCTTTAGGAACTGGCCACTGCAAAACACTGTCGATTTTGGAAGAATCAACTGCCACCCCATCTGCCGAAATGACATGCCCCAAGTATTCTAATTTTCGTTAGCCAAAGAAACATTTCTTTTTGTTGGCAACCAATTGGTGTTCTTCAAGTGTGCTAAGGGTGATCTCCAAGTGTCGAATGTGATCTTCTTTTGTATGGCTATAAACCAATATATCATCAAAAAAGACCAAAATGAACCGTCGCAGGAAAGGTCAAAATATGTCATTCATAAAGGCTTGAAAAGTGGTTGGGGCATTGGTCAAGTCGAAAGGCATGACTAAAAATTCATAATGCCCTTCGTGTGTTCTAAATGCCGTTTTGTGGGTATCCTCATTCTTCACTCTAGTTTGGTGGTAGCCCGACTTCAAATCCAGCTTAGAAAAAATTGAAGCTCTTCCTAACTCATCAAATAATTCATCCACCACTGGAATAGGAAACTTATCCGAAACCGTTATCTTATTTAGAGCCCTATAATCAACACAGAATCTCCATCCATCGTCTTTCTTTTTCATCACTAACACTGGGCTGGGTTTAATGATTCTGGAAGCTTACATCTCGCCCACCAGTTTCTCTATTTCATTTTTTTGGTAGTAGGGATAGCGGTAAGGTCTAATGTTTGGGGGTTGGGATCCGGAAGTGAGACTAATGGAATGATCTTGGGTTCTAGGCGATGGTAATCCTAATAATGAAGTAAAGACTGACTGAAACTGATTCAGAACTAGTAAGATGCTGTTGTCCCTCTCAAATTCTAACTTCACTTGCTTCTGTAAATTACCAAACTCAACAAAATACCCATGTCCCTCGCGCTGGATCGTCCTAAGCATAGCCTTTAAAGAAATTAGGGTCTTGCTTAAGGCAGGATATCCCTACATTCTCCCTCGCATTTCACTCTATAACAGTCACCAACTGTCATCCCGAAAGTCTGCGTTTGCATGAATGATATCCCCAATTTTTCTATCACACCCTTACTAATAAAATTGTGTGAGGCTCCACTACCAATCAACACTATCACTTCAACCCCTCTGATTTTACCCTTCACTTTCATAGTTTTTGGACCTGAAATACCCACAACAGAACTAATCGAGAGCTCCACATCATCTTGCAGTTGTTTTGCGACAAATTCACTCAACTCACCCCCATCGTTGTTCATCTCATCCTGGTTATCCTCCTCATCAATTAGAATGACGTGGAACTATTTTTCCCTACATTGATGGCCTAGAAAGAACTTCGCATCACACCAGAAACATATCCCATGCGCCCTTTTTCTTTGAATCTCAAGTTCTGTCATTTGTTTGAAAGGAAACTCCTTCCTGCAATTCGAACTGGTCGGTGGTCGTTGAACAGAGCTATTGCTGTTGCATTGGCTGTCACTCGAAACAGCATGGACATGTCGATCGTTCCAATTTCGGCCTGTCTACGCATTGAAATTTGGGTTTTGGTTTGCGTTTGCATTTGCGTTACCTAAAGGTGTCATCGGGTTAGACACATATGAATTCCTTGACCCGTTTTCATGATGCCGCAAACTCTTACCTGGCCCACCATTATGAGTCCAAGCCATTCTATTAACTCCATTTACCCCTTCGGGCTTTACACCTTTACTTAGCCCATTCTTCAATTCATCCAAGGCCCAATTTTTCTCTTCTATTTTCTAGGCCAATTCAATTAGTTGGATTAGTGAATTGGGCAGGCCCAATCTGACTTCAGCTTTAATTTCTGGCCTGAGTCCATTCAGGAAAACAGCCCACAATATGTCTTCTTTCTCATCTCTTAATGGTGCAGACAGTGCTTCAAACTTACTGCGGACATCTTCCACAAAGCCAGTCTATCGGATTCCCATCAACGCCTCATATGGTCCTCCCTCTTAGGATCCACCAAACCGATGAAGTAAAGAGAGTTTAAACGCAGGCCATGATGCGACTGGAGCATGGATTTCCATCCTTGAAACCAATTTATCACGTCTCCCTCCATACACATCGCCACCATGTTCAATCGTTCCTCCTCTACCACATGATACACATTAAAGTATCGTTAGATCCTAAATAACCACCCATAAGGATCCTCACCCCTAAATACAGGCATTTCGAATTTCTGGCTAGCAAATTC